GTACAGCAGTCAACTTTGTCTAATAGTTTTAATCAATATAAAAACAAACAAATATGTCGACAAATTAACACTAAAATACATAAGGCACATTAGCAGAAATGAAAAACAAGAATACAAAAATTTACCATAGCACAATTACACAATGACAGGATGTATAATAAATAAACTCATCATAGGTACCAGGATTTAAATTTTGTATTTACGCCAGACGCGCGTTTCGTCAACAAAAGACTCATCAGTGACGCTCGAATCAAAAACAGTTAAAAAGGCTAAATAAAGTACGAAGTTGAAGAGCATTGAGGACCAAAAATTCCTAAAAGTTTTGCAAAGTACAGCTAAGGTAATCTTTTCCTGAGGTAAAGTACCGAGCCACGTCAAATGGATATTACCAAAAATAGACTAAACAGTAAAAGTAATACTCACATAGACAAATAAAAGAATACAATAACACGTTATTAAGATGATAAACAACGTCAGTGCCTAGAATCTATATTTCAAGACCATCGTGTGTTATTTGTGAAATTGATACGGAATATTTATCAAGAAGGTCTTGATATCTTCCAAAGAACTGTTTTAGAAAAAGGACGAGACGTTCTTTGACATACCCCTGGTTCATCAACTTTCGACTAGGACACTGATGACGTTTTGCAAAGTGTGAGTAGCATCTGCAAGCTCTTGAATACCGAATAAGTTGGGAGATGTATGTCACATATGCAGGTTAAGTTTGTCATATATTCTGGTTTTGAGATGACTGCTTATGTCAAATTCGAGGTATAAGTCTATAAATGAGGCATATGAAGCTGTGTCTGTTGTTATTTTTAATTTCGAGTTCTGGAGGATATATTAATGGAACCCAATCAGAAAAGTTTGGATTGTAAAAGAAAAGAACATCACCAATATATCTGAATGTGAAATTAAATAATCTGGCTTCTTTGATCTTCTTTTTTTAGAAAAGTGTCCTCGACTGTATTAATACCGCGCAATAACTACCTAACCTTCCTATGCGCCTATATTTATCTTAGTTTTGTTATAGAAGGGTTCATGTTGCTTGCTTTTGTTTTCAGCAGACGGTTGTAATCTCAGACGAACGGACGGACGCACAGACCAGTAAACGTAATGTTTCCTATTATTATAGCAGTAGGGGGCATAAAAACTAAACAACTATTCGGGAAGACAATGTAGTATTGTCAATATTTTGAAATGATTTCTTGACAATTACAAAAACATGCAAATGAAAATAACAAACAGTATTTACGATATTGTTTTAGGCAACCCTAGTCCAAGATGTTACGAAATGTATATGCCGAATTATCTGAATATGCACGATGCTAAATAAATCGACATTTGTTCCTTCTATGTACATTGCAAATTGTCTGATACATGTGTAAACTGCAACATATCCATTATTTTTTCATTTGTTAATTTAGTTAAAATAAAACTAACGGAAAATACGCTTTAACCATATAGATATGAAACTTAAGGATGTAGTACCTGGACACGTGAAAAGCATTATGATCATGAGAATAGTAGGCAATACAATCTGTGTTAAGCTTTACCTGAGTGAGTTGAAACCGGAATTTGATTTTAATACTTTCCAAATTTGTCAACAGAAGTTTCAGGAAAGTAAACCTATGATAAGGAAAACATCTTTTTGCCAATTCCAAATACAACGTCAAGGTTCTTTAACTCCAGAAGTATGAAATAGTTGAAATTTAGTTTATATGAGATCAGTAGAGTATAGTTTATATGAGATCAGTAGAGGATAGATTATATGAGATCAGTATTGGATGAGATCAGTACTTGATAGACTATAGGAGATCATTAAATGAGAGTTTATATGAGATAAGTAGATGATAGTTATATGAGATCAGTAGTGGATAGATTATATGAGATCAGTAGATGATAGATTATATGAGATCAGTAGTGGATAGATTATATGAGATCATAAGTTGATAGATTATATGAGATCATTGAATGATAGATTATATGAGATCAGCAGAGGATAGTTTATATGAGATCAGTACATGATAGTTTATATGAGATCAGTAAATGATAGTTTATATGAGATCAGTAGATGATAGTTTATATGAGATCAGTAAATGATAGTTTATATGAGATCAGTAGATAATAGATTATATTAAATTAGTAGAGAATGGTTTATCAAAGAACATTAACAGTAATGTTTCTGCACCAGATGCGCATTTCGACAATACATGTCTCTTCAGTGATGCTCAGAGCCAAAATATTTGAAAATCTAAAGCTTATTAAAGATGTGAAGAGCTTATAAACCAAAACTGACAAAAAGGTATAACCAAATACGGCAAGGAATTAGAGTTTTGCGTGAAGGAGATACATTACTTAATTTGATGGAATTTTCAGAATTTTGTAACGGCAAATTTTAATAACACAAAATCCAAATTTGCATGCCAGTACCGAAGTTCTTCCTACACTGGGTTGGTGTTTTCCTCATGGACTAACAGTCCACCAGCAGAGACATCGACCTAGTGGTAGTAATAACATTAACGGTATCAATTTGTCTGCACCAGATGTGCATTTCGACAATAAATGTCTCTTCAGTGATGCTCAGGGCCAAAATATTTGAAAATCCAAACTTAATAAAAATGTGAAGAGCTTATAAACCAAAAAAATTACAAAAAAATGTATAACTATATTCGGGAAAGGAATCAGAGCTTTGAGTGAGGGAGAGACATTCCTTAATTTGATAGAATTTTCAAAATTTGTAACGGCAAATTTTGATAACACAAAATCCGCTACTGGGCTGGTGATACCCTCGGGGACTCTAACTCATATAATCAAAGTCGGTCGTATGTCTACTTATCTTTCTCTAAATAAAAAGTATATAAAAATTTATCTTGGCCTAAGTAATGCTTGACAGAATTAAAGAAAACGTATTTCATTTAATGTCAAATAAAGAAACTCGTAGCTACCAGAGGCAATCGATTCTCGATTGTGACTGGTCAATTTCCAAATTTCTTCTGGTGTTAAATTAAAATGCTAAATCCTTTCTCACTTCAAAGGAATTATGTGATATTTAGGCAGCAAATATGCGACACATATTTATAAAGAAAACTGTTTCCATATTCTTAAGTAGATAAGTCTATAAAAGAAGACCAACCAGCAAGTTTTAAATGTACCGGACCAGCTAGAATATGCAATATAGCACAGACCAACATTATATTCATATATATATTAAGATCCATTTTGTTACATCTGGTGATCAATGTATTTGGCAATCGCCAATGGCAATCAGCAGGGTTTAAGAACATCCGTTGTCCGACCTGTTAATCAAATGCGTTTTGTTAAAATATACTTTTTTCACTTTTTTGGTCTTTTGGAAAATGTTGTTTGTGCTGTATTTAGACCCCTCTACCAAGAAATTTGTTTTACATGCACACGTATAAAAATTGCGGTTTTTATCCAACGCAATCATAGGTTTGAACGTTGTTTTCAATTTAGACTTGTTTATATCTGTAAGACTCAGATCGACGTCCTGTTTCTAATCGACGTCCGTTCCTCAAATCGACGTCCAAATCTGACGTCATAATGAAACAAGATTCCAAATCGACGGCCAATTATATGCCCCTCTAAACGACGTCTTTCTTCTTGTTCTCAAATCGACGTCCAACTTTTGGCTTCTCTAATCGACGTCCTATTTACGAACTTGCCGCAATGACATAATAACTTTGTTAATTGGTGGGTTTAACCTAAAACTCAAAAAGTTGCTGAAAAATATATAAGATTTTAAATCTTGCAGAGTCCAAATGATAATACTTTTCAACAATTGGGTGTACTTTTTTATTCTGTTTATTATTTAAGACAGTGTATATTTCCCTCTAGATGTCACATGTTTTTCCTTTTATTTTGATAACGTTTCTTTAAGCAGCTGTACACCAAGACAAAACTATCATACCACATCTTCTTATTTTTATATATACAGATGATATAAACAAAGATCAAACGATTGAATGATATTGGACATCATTGAGAGGAGACTCCGATCGAGGACGTCGTTTTTGTAATACACAATGCTGAATTGGACGTCGATTAGAGGTTATAAATGTTTGACATTGATTTGAGAACGTAACGTCACACTGGACGTCGATTAGAGACCGGACGTCGATCTCAGTCTAACATACATAATAGGAGTTTCATAGATCATTCAGGGGCCTCGGTGGCCGAGTGGTCTAAGTAGTTACTACTGTAATCACTAGCCAGTCAACACTGAGGTTGTGAGTTCGAACCCCGCTCGTGCGGGTGCACTCGACTCCAATCTTAATTGACTAGGATTTTCAGTTTTCCTATCGAAGGTCGGTGGTTTTCCCCGGGCGCTCCGGCTTCCTCCACCAATAAAAACTGGCCGCCACGAAATAGCCCAAAAGCGGTGCTTAAAAGTGGCGTTAAAACACCAAAAATCAAATCAAATAGATCATTCAAAATTGATTTTTTTTTTCGATTACGAATCTGAAATTCATAAACAAAATTAATCATTTTTCAGTACTCCTTTTTACCTATTATGTCTGTTTGTTTTGTTCACACATCGTTGTCAGCATAATGGAATTTCATGCGACTGTCATACAAGTGAGAGGTTTAGCTAGCTATAAAATCAGGTTTAATCTACCATTTTCTACATACGAAAATAAAAGTTCGGTATTTTAGTTATTTTACTTTTTTCTGATATCTTAGATTTATATTGATATGTGGGAATGCCACATAAATTTCATTAACACTTATGAGAAATATCAGGAACTTATATTGACAAGAGTGTAAGCTGAAGAGGTCTGAAAAAATATGACTTGTTCTATATAAATTTTCTCTTCCGTTCTGATTAACTGAGGACATAGTCGGAAATAGTATTTTTATTAGATTCATGATAATAGTTGGTTCACTTTAGGGGATGGGTTCGAAAATTACCATTGATCGTGGGGTGCAGTACTTTCTGATTTGTTAGAACCTCTTGTTTAACAATAAAACAAACTGTATGTATTAAAAAGATTTTAATATATTAATATATCTGTAAAAGTTAATAAGTGACAGAGATTTCTACAACAAATATAATAAAAACTATAACAGTGTAAATCATGATCACAGAATGTTTCTCTTAAGGATGTACTTAGGTGAAATAAAAAAAAATCTAGAATTTAAAATTGATACTATAAGTCGGGAGAGCATTAGTTACGGAACAAAATAAGCTAAAAATATTGATAGGTTATGGAGCTCCTTTTCGAGATATGTGAGTTTTAAAAAATGGCGTGAAAAGGCTGACTCTTACTTTTACCTTATATTTGCATTGATATTATTTGGGTCTCAAATCGAAAGAAAAGAAAGCTAGAATCTGCTTAAATTTTGGTAAATGACCTTTTATGAGCTATTGAGGTCTTAGATGAAAAGAAAAATGGGTGTTATGGGGCAAAATATTTTACCCTGCATCGTAGAAAAAAACCAAGGAGTCTGAACATCTGACAAAAATTCCTAAACCTCACCTAAGTACATCCTTAAACTTCGCAATTGGAAACTTTTACGTACATAAATGTGAATTAAAACTACTGTACATACGTCCATTTTAGCAGACTTTTTAATATATTGATAACAATAATATGTAGGTGGATTCAAATATGTATTTTCAATTGTTTGTTTTTTTGTATTTTTTACGTACATGTAAAATTCGATTTTTTTTTTTTTTTTATCACAAATGGCTATGGTGTTGCAAAAAAACCTGACTGTGAAAATAGCAAAATAACTCTATTAAGAATACTTTCAATTTCGCAGTATAAACTTTGTCTAGGGAAAAGTGAATTAAGGTACAATTATAAGAATTTTGATATGTACTGTAATACTTGTACTGTAAGCTGTTTTACTATAAAGCTTGAGTTTCACACAGAGGCACTATTCATAACTTTGGTCTAATATAGAAAATACTGCTGAGTTTACGTATAGACAACAAGGACATAATATATAAATAAGGAGACATACTCTATTGGACGGAATCTTAATTAAGTCATTTTAATTCAGAACTTTTGCTGCAAAGACAAGAAGGACATAATAAAAATATATAAAGAGACACACTCTATTGGACGGAATCTTAATTTAATCATTTAAATATTCAGAACTTTGTTCTGTTCTGCATAGACAACAAGGACATAATGTGGATATACAAGGAGACATACTCTATTGGACGGAAACTTATGGTTAGTCAATATGATTAAGAGCCTTTGTTGTGTTATAGGATGGAGGATAACCACACATTACATTCACATAGGATGGAGGATAATCACACAATCTATGGCTTCAAATTCTTCTTTGTAAATTTTGCAACCAAAAATCAGTCTAATAAATTCTTTTCAATTTATATTTCAATAGGTGTCAACTTTCCATATTTCTTTTTTTTCTATTTTGGATATCATAAATAATTGGTTTCATGAGAACATTGATTGTAAATAATTTTAATGAAATAACTGCAAAAAAGTCAAATAAAATTTCTAAGAAAATATTGTTAGATAGAAAATTTTCCGCAAAACCTAATCTAAAGTAATTTCCCTGCAAGAAAGATCTCATTTTTAGTCATAAGTTGACACCTATGACATTTAATGCAAAATATTTGAAAATCTATGAGCATGATGAGATGGGAGTTCTTTTTACAATAATTAAATAAAAAAAATGGTTATCTTAGAATATTAAAAACAAAACGTATAAGATATGAACAATGTTGTATTCTGTTAAATTCAATGATACATTATTACACTTGGCACTTTTAAGATTTTAAAACCTGACAATGTTTGTTTGCATGAAAATAATATTGTGTAAATTAAAGAGAAGTTAAAATAATCATATATAAATATATATATGGATTTTTTAATAACTTCACAGTATGAACTTACTCAGGCAGATAATTTAATTTCGATGACAATTTCATTAAATGGGCTTGGGGTGTTACTTCCCTATAATCTTGAATGAAAGGATATTTTTTTCCTCCAGGGTTTGAATCACAACATATTACTAAGGGAGATAATTCTGTTTCATTAAATGGTGTTGGGTGTTACTTCCCTTAAAAATGAAAGGATATCTTTTCCCCTCCAGGTTTGAATCACAAAATATTACGTAAAGAATCACCAAGAAACTTAATAGATCAACCAGGATTTGTTTTAAACAAAAGTAAAAAAAATATATCATTGTTTTCATTAAAAATAAAAACATGAACACTTCGACTTTTTTTAAAAATATTTCAAGATATTCAAACCCTGTACACTGACTAACAGCTTCAAATAGTAATGTCAATCCATGTCTGTTTAACTGGTTATATTCAGATTCCTATTCTTAATTACACAAGTCTATCTTTTGAAAAATATATTATGAAAATTGTCCTTTTCTAAAAGATCCTTTTGTCAGGTCAGTTCAATCCATTTTTATATTTAATGACCCTGATTTTCTTTTCAAATAAACAAAAATAAAATGATACAAAAACAAATAACTGTAGCATGAACAATGTCTAACTTTAGTAGCATACTAAATCGTTTCCTAGCTTCCGCCTTCGCTTTTCGGCGTAAAATTTGTATTCTAGATTTTGCATCTGTCTGCCTACATCCGTGTTGACCCTTGATCCATAGTTTCCTGAGTTTGTGTTTGGCATATCTGAAGAAAATATACTGGCTTTTTCTGGTAATGGATCTCTTTCTATTTGGTTACCCTGGAAACAGAATAAAATGTGAATTTCAGTATTTCATATCAGAAGAATCATTGAAGGAAAATTAATTTTTTTTCACATAGTTGAATTTCTTTGGAAATCATATACTTGTTTTTTTTTCTTTGTCATATTTATTGACCAATTTATTATTTTGTATACTATATCGTGTTGCTCTTGTTGTACACAATGTGTGCCCGAGTGTATTAGTAATAAACTTGTAAAAGTAAAGTAAAGGTAGAAACTGTCGAACTATAAAACTAAAAAAGTAACAAAAAAACAATACTTTATATATACATATATATTTATTTTTTTTTATGCAGATTTATTCTGGTTGAGTTAAGATGGTACCCAACACCTTGACTAATATTAATTTGGCTCGTTTAATTTTCATAAAATTTTGACAAAATGTTTACTTTGACCCTTTGACAAAAATATAAAAATTTCAAAAAATTTGAACCAACCACTTTATCAGAAAAATTTCATTGGTTATATAGCAGTTTGACAAACACTAATTTTGATCATTGAGAAGCTTAATATTTTCTTAATAATACAACGTAATTAAAACGTTTAGCTGATTTTTACAGAGTTATCTCCCTGTAGTGTTAGGTACCACCTTAAACAGATTCTGAACAGTTTGTAATTGTAACTGTTACAAACATGAAACTCTAATTTATGCAACGTGTATACATGTACGTAGATCCCTCCGTTATTCGGAGCACCCCGAGAGCTGCTAGGGTACAGTGGAATCCGTGTAAATTGTTGTTAGTATTGATAATTAAAAATCAATTGATTCTTCACATTATTTTTTCATAGTTTTTGTCAAATTAACAATTCTGAAATTTTAGAACTAAAGATTTCCCATCATAGTTCCAGCTTTCATATAAAAATAGAACAATTCCCGTACTTGCTGATTAAGTCTATAAGTATAATTTCTTGAATCGAGTTTGTCAATTTAACAATTTTGATGTGCTAAAAATATTAATTTGTTAACTTAGATTTCCAATTATGATAAGAAACGTTAACGTTTTAAAAATGGCACCTAAACATTTAATATTTTTGTTTGAAATTTTCAAACATCAATATAATTTATTTCATGCTCCCTTCCTTAATTGATACGTAATCAAATAATTTTGCCTATATTGAGATGTAACTAGTTATCTTTATCAACCTTATTACACGGGAAGATTCAGAGGAATCCACACTCCCCTCCAAAACAATAGGCAACTATATCGTTTTCCAGGAATAGAAAACATAAAAAATTATAAGTCATACCCCACGTAACATCATATCCTGGATCGGTACCTGATACATGTAAGCCTATTAGGCCAGTGGCGGATCCAGAAATTTTCATTAGGGGGGGGGGGGGCACTGACTGCAGCATTAGAGGGGGCCCGCTCCCGTCATGCTTCAGTGATTCCTAAATAATTAACCACAATATTTCGCACAAAAGGGGGGCCAGGGCCCCCCGGCTCCCCCCTAAATCCGCCTCTGCAGGCACATAACTGACCACCCCATACAGACCATCAAACGATAAAAGTAGCATGTACCTATGATTTCTACTTGTATTGACCTATCATCAAAATTGAAAAAATGCAAACAACATTTTGTTATCTCACTCACTCCAAACAAAACTGCACAAAAACATATCTTAAAAAAAACTTGTATTCGGACATGTATTAGTCTTTTAAAAAACACAAATCAAACTGCATGAAAACTCTTATAAATCTTGTTAGATATCATTCTGTGATTAGAAGTGAACATATAATTTACCATTGTAATGCCATCACCCTGTAAATTTAATCAAACTAGTTGTAATATGGGTTGTCTTAATTTTAGGGAAACTATATACACTGAGATATGGGTTACCTACCTTTTGGGGATATAAACGTTGACTCTTTGGGTTATCTCCCTTTAAGGGATACGTAAACATTGAAATATGGGTTATCTCCATAGTTTTGTAGGATTTTATGAAGATTTATCAAAGTAATTGATGTATAAAAAAATTAACCCAAGACTGTGTAAAATGCTAACTGCTAAAAAGTTAGTTCATCTAGCATGTCTAAGGGGTTCCACATTTTCCTCTTGATACTGATTTTTTATCATGAAAACTGAAAAATTCTGTCAAAATTCCATGAAAATTGACAACGTTGTTGATGTTTTAATGACTGAACATAATGTTGTCGACGCCGACGGAATGTAAGATCGCTATGTCCGGTTTACGGAACTTTCGTTGTAGGCTTAACAATAAAAGGAGATTGGGAAATATGTCAACCCAAAATACACACACACACAAACTGATGGAAATATGTTTATGCTTGAGAAAGCTCAAATATTACATTGTTTATATATTTGAAACATTGTTTATAGTTGTTACCGTTCAGTGGAAAATATTTCTTGCATGTTGAAGATAATCAGACTTTTTTATAATGTCACTTCTGGATTTACTCACTGTGCAATTTGTATGGAGTTGAACAATGAACTGTGCATTTTACATAGGTTTATAATTGTGAATAAATATATATAGGTTTATAAAATATATACTAATAAAACATAGCAAAGCTGCTCCGAGAAAAATTAGGGACAACCAATGAAACGAAACTTATATTAAAAAATTTAAAGTTTACCTTTGAATCAAAATCTGTTAAGAATCCCCAGTCACTTGACCTGCAAAATGAAAAAAAAATACTTTTAATAAAATTTGTATTTAGTAAATAGAGCAAAATCAATACATTGTACATCCTTTTAACTTGACATCATCAAACGTTATCCAACATGAACATGATATAGTTACATATAAAGTGTCATGCTGTGTTACATATAAAGTGTCATGCTGTGTTACATATAAAGTGTCATGCTGTGTTACATATAAAGTGTCGTGCTGTGTTACATATTTACATATATAGTGTCGTGCTGTGTTACATATAAAGTGTCATGCTGTGTTGCATTTAAAGTGTCGTGCTGTGTTACATATAAAGTATCGTGGAATGTTACATATAAAGTGTCATGATGTGTTACATATAAAATGTCATGTTGTGTTACATATAAAGTGTCATGGTGTGTTACATATAAAGTGTCATGCTGTGCTACATATAAAGTGTCATGTTGTGTTACATACAAAGTGTCATGCTGTAATATATCTGTTATATCTGTTTTAAATCCTTTAAGTCCTGTAGAAAGAGTTTCATATTCTCTTTAAAGAAAACCCTTGCAATAGCTCTTTGAGAGGCCTGTATGAGGCCTTTTACAAGGTTATAAAATCTGCCCCTTTCCAACACACCCTCGTTTCAAAATTCGGCCTTTCATCTCGATCTACATAAGGAAAATTAACAATAGGGAACAATCAATGTTTAATAGTCTATTGACAACCACTTTAATTATGTATAAATGTTTGTGTACCTATAACATCAAAGTCTTTAAAATGACATATAACGTGTTTATAGTGGAATTTGTAATATGTATGACGGTAATGCTCATTGATTTTGTCTGAACTAAAGCTATGTAATACAAATAAACTATTACAAAAATCAATGTCTCCAACTTATCAAATGAACATGGAAACAAGGAAATGCATGGCAGAATTCACAAACACAAAGATATACTGTATTTTTTGTGCATTGATTTTCCATAAAAGAAATCCTTCTTTTGAAGATTACCAGTTTCATAACGCTTTATCTTTAAAACGGCGAGACATCTATAGTTAAAACAATCATGGAATAGTTATTTTAGTTTCATATTCAATGTGTACTTAGGGACAAAACTATTTTAACTTTTTTAGTCTTTGTCGGAATAAACAACAACGTTTCTATCGGATAGAGCTCTAATGGTATTGTTACAGTAGAGCATGATTTCTTTCCGAAATTGGCACTGTACTCGCCGGGGATCGAACCCGGGACCCTAAGCATAAAGTGACTGCTCTCCAGTAGCAGGTTATATATCTTTTGGGTCAGTAGAAATCAGAAGTTGGGATTCGTAGTCTTCATGTAATCTAATCGTGCGTAGGTTACAATAATTTCTTTTTTTGTTTTTTGTTTTACGGTTTTTTATAAGTTGTATACAAAAATAAGAAGATGTGGTATGATTGCCAATGAGACAACTCGGTATTCAGTTTGTTATTTTACTTTTGGCTAAAAAAGAAAAAGACCAACAGACAAACAATAGTACACAAAACACAACATAGAAAACTAAAGACTGAGCAACACGAAACCTAACCAAAAAATAGGGTGATCTCAGGTGCTCCGAAAGGGTAAGCAGATGCTGCTCCACATGTTTCACCCGTCGTTTTGCTCATGCTAGTACAAACCAGGTAATAAGTCAAAATCGGTATGTCACATTCGGGGAAAAGGGGACGGGATTGTAGTTACGACATTTGGAACATATCCGCTATCATCCGTGAGACGGATATTCCATAACGGTCAACCAACTCGTGATGGCGTCCGTAAAATTCACGAAGGGGTGATTTCAACTTCACCACTTGGAACTCTTGGTTTAATAGCTTCCTTGTGAGCAGCAACCCTCAATCAAGGAAATCATGACAGGAAATACAAGCCATGGAATATCGTATCAACTGGGAGATATATATTTTGTATGCAGGCGCTGCTGGAATGTTGCTACATAGAAATGGAAAGTTCACAATTGGGAAGCTGAAATCATCTCTTTTGTCGTAAAGTTTTGTTTTCAACCGACCCTCGTTGTCAATTTCTAGATGTAAGTCAAGATATGAGGCAGACTTAACTGTATCTGTTGTACCCTCCCCTAACCTGGGAGAGTGGTGTAACAGTACGACATAAGAAAAAACTATAAAAATCAGTTGATATGGGCATTACTCGTCAGATCGATACAAAGCACGTAAAAACACAAACACAAAAGACAGAAAGTACAGATCTAAGAGTAGTCGCAGTTAATTGGAAGCTAGTTCAAAGCCGATAAAAACTTATAAAACATCATGTGTCTAGGACTAATAAACCAATCAGTACACATCCAACATCCAATGAGAGAAAAACATGAGCTTGTGCAATGCCAAAATATAGGTACCGACAGATTGTAAAACCGTGATTGTACATTATAACAATAATATTTAGTTTGGTTTAAATTTACTGATAATAAAATCAATATTTATATCGATAAAAACAATGTACAAAGATCTAATTACAGTGTTAAATTAGTAACCTTTTCGGATAAGTTTATTCAAAGGATCGATAAGTTTACCAGGATCGTATCTAAATTTACGGGCTCGGTAAACAACATCACCGTAAGAATAAGGATTCCTGAATACAAAAGAGGATGATAAGAAACTTCACTACTGACAAATTTCAAAGACAATTTCCTCTTTTATTTCAATTCGATTTTGGAGACAAATTACCAACTATATAAAAAAAGCATTTCTAAAAGAATTATATTTTAATTATTTTAATTTGCTTATATACAATTTCCAGTTTGAAAGCCACGGATTGGTGAAGGAAGAACAAACAAATAAAAAAAATATAAAAAAAAATAAATAAAAACATATCACACGTTCCGAATACTTAACAATATTTAGGAAAAATAAATTGTATTGAAAACCTACCAGTTTTTAAGACATCTCTTTTCTCCGGTGACCGATTCTTTCCAGATTGTATCTTGTTTGACGGCATCACACTGCACATAATCTCCCTCTTGTCTTTTCTTGTCTGCTGATACTTGTGTGGCCTGGTCTCTTCTGTCAGCAGGGACACAGTTATCGTGGTAGGCACTGCGACGAGAAACAAACAATCTTGAAGTTAATTTGTGCTTAGACAGAACCATAACCTATATAACCCTCCCCGACCCTCATGACGTTTCCAGGAAATCTCATGTGCTATGCCGACGTCTATGACGTTTGCACATAAAAAACCTCTGTAGAGTGACGGGTGCACTCTCGATCATAGGCGATTGCGTAATGGATCTCCTTTTTTCTGAATAGTTTTTTTAATTCATATTTTGAGGTAAATATACTGTAATATTTTAACTTATTTTCACTTATTCAACGTGTTCTTACTTTTTTCCAAAAGATATTACAATAACAATAGTTTATAAATTTTGACCTTCTATTATTATTTTCCACGTGATATATATATATATATAAATCAATTTAAAAGGGTTGAATAACAGGCAAGTGACTTAAAAATCCTTTCTCAATTACTGTTTAACTTTGATTTCTTCCAATACATATACTATATTTAAAAAAGAGACATTTCCCGCCAAAAAATGTAGCTTTTCAAATTACTGCATCTTAAAAACAAGCCAACAGATCTCTCTTTTTTTCATAAATAATTTTCCTGTATTCGTAATTTTCTATAGAATGTAAATTGACAACAGGGGCGGATCCAGGAATGGATGTTGGCATGAAACCCTAATAATGTCCGTCGACGGATACATTTTTTATGGCAAATAATATGTTGCTCCCTGGTTTTTTTTAAATGGACTGGTTTTTTCTTTTCTTTAACCACAATTAATTTGTTCCGTATCGTTTTGCGTATATGCAGCCATGTACATCCATTTATGTTCAATATACAAACAGTGTGTCCCCCTTATAAATAGGTTAGAATTTATTCATTGTCGTTTCATTTTGACTTTTCTAATTTTATGATGAAAATCATGTTCGCGTCGAAATACGAACCCTAACGGAAGTTCTTTTTCACCTATTGAACAGAAATTACATGTTTGATCAATACAAAAACTATTACCAGTAGTATTAAATAACGAGGATGATATCTTATACGCTAATGATATATGAATTATTTAAGCTCAGCTCGTATCCAAAAATTAATTTACTGTACATATATTTCTAAATTTAGATGTAAGTGAATCGTTAGTGAGACACAGCCACCCAACATAAATTTACGAAAATGGTCATACTGAATTCAGTACACACTATACGTGTTTCTTCAACAACCTTGATCATTTAAACATGTATGAAGGGGGTATCAAGGGGTAGCTCATTTCCCAAATCCCGCTTTATAGTAATTTTTTCCAATTTCTCACTTTTTTAATTTCCTATATCGCACATCCCCACTTTTTTTTCTCTCTCTCTCTCATATTCAACATCCCCACTTTTTTCTCTCTCTCATATTCAACATCCGCACTTTTTCCTCTCTCTCATATTCAACATCCCCACTTTTTTCTCTCTCTCTCTCTCTCTCTCATATTCAACATCCCCACTTTTTTCTCTCTCTCTCATATTCAACATCCCAACTTTTTTCTTTCTCTCATATTCAACATCCCCACTTTTTTCTCTCTCTCATATTCAACATCCCAACTTTTTTCTCTCTCTCATATTCAACATCCCCGCTTTTTTCTCTCTCTCATATTCAACATCCCCACTTTTTTTCTCTCTCTCATATTCAACATCGCCACTTTTCTCTCTCTCTCTCATATTCAACATCCCCACTTTTCTCTCTCTCTCTCATATTCAACATCCACACTTTTTTCTCACTCTCATATTCAACATCCACACTTTTTTCTCACTCTCATATTCAACATCCGCACTTTTTTTGTCTCTCTCATATTCAACATCCACACTTTTCTCTCTCTCTCTCATATTCAACATCCTCACTTTTTTCTCTCTCTCATATTCAACATCCACACTTTTTTCTCACTCTCATATTCAACATCCGTACTTTTTTCTCACTCTTATATTCAACATCCACATTTTTTTCTCTCTCTCATATTCAACATCCACACTTTTTTACCCCCTATATCCCACATCCTCACTCTCATATTTCTTTCTTTACCCCTTATATCCATATCTCAGAATAGTGGCATCCCTCCTCGGATGCGTTGAAGGACAAAAGTGTTTGATACTAGATATATAAATAGAATTAAGTACGGTCGCCGTAAAAGCTCTTTATTTTATTCTTTATTTATAATTAATGAATCTATGTAACAAAAACCTTATTTATTTATTTATCTATCTATCTATTTATCTATTTTTATTTATTTATTTATTTATTTATTCATTTATTTTATTTATTTATTTATTTATTTATTTATTTATTTATTTATTTATTTATTTATTTATTTATTTATTTATTTATTTATTCGTTCGTTCGTTCGTTCGTTCGTTCGTTACGTATTTATTAATCTGTTGCTTTCAAAAGTGTAGGTTTGAGCGTTTGTGATGAAGGTAAATCCAGAAACGTGTTTCGGACGCAAAAAAAACCCAATCATTGTAATTTATTGTTTCGCAATAATCCCTCCAAAGAATTGTCATCAATCCAATGCATACACGAGGGTCTGGATGGGGGTCCATCGTTTCTTTATTCTTTCCGTTTTATGGACCATTTGTCTCTATTCTTTATTTATTTTGGCCATAGTTCTCTATTCTTTATATTTCAGTACCCCGTTATTCTATATTCTTGATTTTTTTTTAGCATATTTTTCACTATTCTCAATTTATATTTGCCATTTATACTGCACTTTTTGCCCATTATTCTCTTTTCTGTAAATCCAATCCACATCCTCATACATATCAGAAACAATTTCGAGTATCAAATCTAAACTTTCTAAGGAGATTTAATGAGATTTAATGAGATTTAATTGCGCAATTTAAATCCAGTCAATAGTATTATTTCAAAATCAGTTACAGAATAAAACCTTTTAAAGGATTAATTCTTATCTGGTTTCAGTTTAAAGAATCAATTTCAAGGTAACAGTCAATAGTTTCTTAGTCCCAGAATAAAAAAAAAGTATTCAAATTAGTAACCAAACTATAACCTTCCATGTAAGTACTGGAAAGTCACACATACTTTTGTATTGGGATCGTCGATGCCATATACGTATTGATTTAGAAGATTCAAAATTTGACAAAATGTCTCTATCTCAAAGGAGCAGCTTGTTGGTTTGTTCTTTTAATAGATATAAGAAGATGTGGTATGAGTGCCAATGAGACCACTCTCCATCCAAGTCAACATTTATAAAAGTAAACCATTATAGGTCACGGTACGGTCTTCAACACGGAGCCTTGGCTCACACCGAACAGTAAGCTATAAAGGGCCCCAAAAAATTACTAGTGTAAAACCATTCAAACGGGAAAACCAACGGTCTAATCTATATAAAAAACGAGAAACGAGAAACACTTATGAACCACATCAACAAACGACAACTACTGAACATCAGATTCCTGACTTAGGACAGGTGCAAACAAATGCAGCGGGTTTAAACGTTTTAATGGTACCAAACCTTCACCCTTTTTCTGAAACAATAGTGTAACTATTTATTAAGTTTATACTCTTGATACTGGCTTTAAGGTTTGGTCAAGAGTACGCTAATAAAGCTAATAAAAGTGCTATGGGTTCGCTAAAATAATGTTATCTAACTTTATTTGCTAAATACGTCCATATGGACCAAAGCAATACACAAATCGTACATATATCTACCTATAATAACAACGAACATACAATTATATTGGCAAATAGTATACATTATGTATGGGAACTTTTGACTGACGTGGACCTCATTTTAGCAATTCAAGGGACTACTTTATAAAGTCTCAAACGGCTGGTAAAAGTTAAAGTTGAGAATTTAATATTTAAAATTGAGAAGGGAATATTTGTTTAATTTGTAACCAAACAAACATGACAGATGCCATGTATTTGTTTATTCAGTGGCGGATCCATTGGGGGTTCCGGGGGTCAGAAACACCCCCCCCCCCCTTTTTTTCGACGATCAATGCTTTTGAATGGGGACATATGGTTGGGAACCCCCCTTTATCCTGGGTTGGAACCCCCTTTAGAAATGGCTGGATCCGCCCCTGTTATTTGACAATAGTGTCGTTGTGATGCTGTTTCCATTGGCATATATTCAACATCTCCTTTAATTCACAATTATTCAAAGCAGAATTTAATATTTTTGTATACCTTTTAATCTATTTAATCGTAATTGCAAAAATTCAAATTATATAAACAAAACCCAAATCATGTTAATCTATAAATTTCTCTAAATATATTATAGAGTTTTTAAAGTTACAGAGGCATTTAAAAGAATTATCAGATTAAGGAAAACGTTTAAATTGACAATAGCCACACTTAATATAAATTAAAAATATTATCTTACGTTTTAGGATAGAAAGAGAATAAAATTCCACTATACTGACGAGCCATGGATGATGTTTGTCTGTCGATGTTTTGTTTACGCTATCAACGCGATGTCATCCGGAAAATAGAGCGGAGAGATGATTGTGATCAGGGAAATTCATTACATTTAAATGGATCCGTATTGATTTCATATAACGACAGATTATGTGATAAGTGTGTTTGATGGAAATATTTTACTTCGATCGATTATTGGTGGATCGAAAGATTCTAATTGGCTAAAATAATTGTTTTTTTAATAACGTCCAGTGGCAAATATTTCAAGAATAAGAAACTTGACTGGCGGATTGAGGACTTGTGATAAAAGAGAGAGGGGAAGAGAAAAAAGAGGGTAATTAAAAGTAATGAACTAAAAATAGCATTTATCGCCAAACATAGAGCACAGTACAACAGGTCACAATCAATCACCATTGCACTTGTAAAAAAATCTTTACAGTGCTGTTGGTTCAGAACGTGCTCGCTGCTACAGGAAGCTAGCTTATGAAGCCACAACTGTTGGTTCAAAACGTGCTCGCTGCTACAGGAAGCTAGCTTATGTAGTCACAGCTGTTGCTTCAAAACGTGCTCGCTGCTACAGGAAGATAGCTTATGTAGCCACAGTTGTTGGTTCAAAACGTGCTCGCGTTTAAATATATCATTGTCAATGTGTCTGTAGCTCATGCTGGTGATAGATTTCAGAAATTTCCCGCGTTTAAATATATCATTGTCAATGTGTCTGTAGCTCATGCTGGTGATAGATTTCAGAAATTTCCCGCGTTTAAATATATCATTGTCAATGTGTCTGTAGTTCATGCTGGTGATAGATTTCAGAAATTTCCCGCGTTTAAGTATATCATTTTCAATGTGTCTGTAGCTCATGCTGGTGATAGATTTCAGAAATTTCCCGCGTTTAATTATATATCATTGTCAATGTGTCTGTAGCTAGTGCTGGTGAAAGATTTCATAAATTACCCATGTTTAAATATATCATTGTCAGTCTTTTAGTTCTATCTAGGACATTATTCTGAAAGGTAAGATGGTTAACTCAAAAAAAAAAAAAAACATTATTACAAAAATTAACAAAATAGATTTGCCCTCCTCCCCCTCCCCTTCAAGCGATTAAGAAAACACGTCTGGTTAAGGGTAAGGTAATGGCTAGGGGAAAATTGTGACCAGATCGACGTTTTATTTGGTAACTTAAGCAGTGAAGAGAACGAGATAGAGCGCGTGCTTTGCTACTAGACAGTCCAGACGGGTTTTAAATTTCTTGCCTTTTTGTTAGCTTTGCTATACGACCGGTTCAAAATTTCCTGTAAACTTTTTGACTTATCACCGGATTCATGTGAAAACATGATTTATTGTACATATTAAGTGATTTTATATGAAATTAATAGAAATATTGACAACATTTAAATGTAATACAGGTAGAGACACCACCTGGTGGGTGTATGGAGATTGTTATCTATAAACATTTAAATCAAATTGATTTTAAATATTTATGTGAAGTGACACTTGTAAAAGTAATTGAAAAGGTGTATTTTACAGTAGTTATGTAATTACTGTTTTTTTAAACTTATATCATTGTTTATAAATTTAAAGAGTATTACAGTTGAAGAGCTTTCAATTGAATTGATTCGTGAAAAGAGAGAAATAAATAAATAGAAAAAAACATATATGAACTTTTTGTTTTTGTTTCAAAAAGATAAACCACATAGGCAACAGTGACGGATTCAGTCCTCTCCCCTTTTTTTGAAAAAAAATAATCATTTTTGGCATTAATTCGATCTGCGCTTTTTTGACTATTAGTCTCCTGTTATTTACATTGGACGACAGCGTATCAATAAAAGAAGCATAAATAATAACTTTTAAGTTACTTCAAGATATATCATTTGAATTAAAAACGTCAGAAAAACTTCAATATAAACAACAAATGACTATTTCATATGGACAAAAACATTTGACCTCTCAATAACTTAATTGTGAATCACAAATTATTCTCCCAATAACTAAATCATCAATTGAAAATTAATCTCTAATAACTGGATCATGAATCACAAATTAATCTATCTCTCGATAACTAAATCGTGATTCATAAATTAATTTCTCGATAACTACATCGTGAATCATAAATTAATCTCCCGATAACTAAATCGTGAATCATAATGAATTCATCTGTCAATAACTGTGTCATGAATCACAAGATAAACTCTCAATGAATGGACTTTGACTCACAAATCATTCTCAATAACTTCAGTGCGAATCACAAATCATTCTTTCAAAAATTGGATAATGAATCACAAATAAGTCCCTTAATTAATGGATCATGAATTCACAAACTAGCCTTTTAAGAACGAGAATTATTATGTACCGGCTTCTCGAATCAATGAATAGTCATTCTGAACGATCAAAACATTCATCGGTAAGGTGTATAGTCATTCTGAACGATCATAACATTCTTCGGTAAGATGTATAGTCATTCTGAAGGATCAAAACATTCTTCGGTAAGATGTATAGTCATTCTGAACGATCAAAACATTCTTCGGTAAGATGTATAGTCATTCTGAACGATCAAAACATTCTTCGGTAAGATGTATATAGTCATTCTGAACGATCAAAACATTCTTCGGTAAGATGTATATAGTCATTCTGAATGATCAAAACATTCTTCGGTAAGATGAACGAATAATTGAGTAATATTCATGAGAAAATCTTCCAACAGACGTAGCAGCTATTATCACAATTTACTTTTAGTTTAAACTTACGTTTTAGAGTAATACTCATCATGCATGAGAAAATCTTCCAACAGACTTTCTTTACGTTTTAGACTCATTTTTACAATTTACCTTTATATATATACCGGGCTGAAGTACGTTCACTATTCACTATTCACTTTTCACTATTCAAAATTCATGAATAGTGAACTGTGTTTTTTTGCACTATTCACTATCCAAGTTTATTAAATTGTCATGAATAACTGTAGTATCTACTTGTATATATAAAAATTAGAAAAAATTGGTATGATTACCAATGACACAGACATTACAAGCTTTAGGTCACCGTACGGCCTTCAGCAATGTGCAAATCCCATACCGCATAAATCATAAATGTAACAGGGATTCAAAAGAGAAAACTAACAGGATAATTGTTATTCTTCTAAACGAGTGCAAAAATATCCATGATTTTTTGCTTATATTATATATATATATTTCTAACGACACAATATTTTCATATTATCAATCTATATCATAAAATAAAATATTTTTATGAGTAATCATTTAATAAATAAATATTATTTTGCAAACGATAATTTAGATAGGTTTGCAGTCAAAAACGAAAGTAACGTAAGTAGAAATCTCTATAGAATTATATAGTATTAAGGTATAAAGAGAAAAGATATTTGTTAGGCCTATCCCTTTTTAATATTTAGACTGAAATATTTATTTTTTACGTAACATTACATTTGATCATGCATCTAAAACCCACTTATGCATATATCTAGAAGTTTACGGTACAATTGTCGCACTCAGTTTGTTACGTATATTTCTAGGGGTGGGGTCTACTTTTATTCATAAAGCATTAAAGTGAGCATTCGTTTCAGACTCATTTCACTATCAAGATGTCCACACTTAACGTAATCTACCTTGCGTCAGGTAGTGAAAAAAATACGTCTTTGAGTGCCAATAATTCTTTTCAAATTCTCAAAAATTTACACATTTATATATAAAAAATATTATCAATATGAAAAGTCTAGAAAAAGTAATATACACACGTAATGAAAGTTTCGTATAAAAAACTAGGGGTGTTTCCCTGAAGAAAAATCTAATAATAGCACTAATAGGAGATCTATGTTATACTACGCCCGAATACCAAAAACATCTCCAACAACGACGAACCGAACCTAAGAAAAAATACACCACAGATCACGTTACGATCGAGTTTTGAACCCCCGTATCCCCTAATTACAGGTATATCCTATATATCATAAGAAAGGTAATAAAATGAGGAACAAAAGCTATATAGTGAATATGTGGCACAGATGCGATTTAAGGGGTAACGAGCGACCGAAAACCGAAAACGGCCGAACCTAAGAAAAAATACACCACAGATCACGTTACGATCGAGTTTTGAACCCCCGTATCCCCTAATTACAGGTATATCCTATATATCATAAGAAAGGTAATAAAATGAGGAACAAAAGCTATATAGTGAATATGTGGCACAGATGCGATTTAAGGGGTAACGAGCGACCGAAAACCGAAAACGGCTTTTGTTCCTCATTTTATAAGCTTTCTTATGGTATATAGGATATACCTGTAATTAGGGGAGTCGGGGGTTGAAAACTCGATCGTAACGTGATTTGTGTTGTATTTTTTCTAAGGTTCTGCCGTTGTCGATATTCGGGTGCTTCATTATCCCTTTAACCGGATCTGTGCCCTATATTCACTATATAGCTTTTGTTCCTCATTTTATAAGCTTTCTTATGGTATATAGGATATACCTGTAATTAGGGGATTCGGGGGTTCAAAACTCGATCGTAACGTGATTTGTGTTGTTTTTTTTCTAAGGTTCGGCCGTTTTCGATATTCGGGCGCTTCATTATCCCTTAAACCGGATCTGTGCCCTATATTCACTATATAGCTTTTGTTTCTCATTTTATAAGCTTTCTTATGGTATATAGGATATACCTGTAATTAGGGGATTCAGGGGTTCAAAACTCGATCGTAATGTGATTTGTGTTGTATTTTTTCTAAGGTTCGGCCGTTTTCGATATTCGGGCGCTTCATTACCCCTTAAACCGGATCTGTGCCCTATATTCACTATATAGCTTTTGTTCCTCATTTTATAAGCTTTCTTATGGTTAATAGGATATACCTGTAATTAGGGGATTCGGGGGTTCAAAACTCGATCGTAACGTGATTTGTGTTGTATTTTTTCTAAGGTTCGGCCGTTTTCGATATTCGGGCGCTTCATTATCCCTTAAACCGGATCTGTGCCCTATATTCACTATATAGCTTTTGTTCCTCATTTTATAAGCTTTCTTATGGTATATAGGATATACCTGTAATTAGGGGATTCGGGGGTTCAAAACTCGATCGTAATGTGATTTGTGTTGTATTTTTTCTAAGGTCCGGCCGTTTTCGATATTCGGGCGCTTCATTATCCCTTAAACCGGATCTGTGCACTATATTCACTATATAGCTTTTGTTCCTCATTTTATAAGCTTTCTTATGGTATATAGGATATACCTGTAATTTGTGTCGGTTCGGCGTTGTTTTTTGTTTTTTTTTTGGTATTCGGGCGTTCCATAACACAGATCTCCTATTTTTTAGTGCTATTATATTATATTCTTCT